AAAAGAATATCCTATTTTGATCTCAAACTTTGACGACAACAAGATACTTACCTATATTTAAGCCTTTAGGATTGTTGCTCTGAAGAAGGTAGGAGATATGTCCTGAAAAAAACAAAAAATCAAAACACATTTATCAGAAAATATGAATATTTTCAAGAAAGAAAATCTATAAACAGTACACAAATAAATTTTGATTAATGTCATAGAAATATCGCACGCTTCCCTTAGGCCTCACAGCAATACCTTTTGAAATTTGCGAATAATTCTTAATTTCAATTTATCACGTTTGTTATTCTAATCCATAGTCAATTCATCATATGGCGGCCTCTGCTCTCGCATTACAAATTTCATTTTGCACTTGCAATCCAATTACATATGAGCGAATTAAATATGCAAAATGTACTTGATGATTCATTACCTACAGAAACGTTTCTATATGCGGGTCAGAGTCTTGTGACCATCTATCATAGCAGCAGAGTTGATCAACTCTACTCTGCTGTACTCTACTTAAAGAGCTAAATCAGTCAATGGTCGAGCGCCGTTAAGCCTCTGCTTCGAGCTGGCGTAGTTGTGTTGTCACAGCGGGCTCTAATTGTGGCCGAGTTGCCTCAAGTGTTGCATACAATTAATTGTTGCAACTGCAAATTGAAGCTGATGCTGTCCACTGGAAATCTAGTTAGCTGCAGCGCAGCTGGACGAAGCTGATTACCTGAATTGAGCTGAGCTGGCAATTGTTTGCTCACGGCTGAATGGCTGCAACCACACGCACACACACTCGGGCACACTCACACTCACACACAGAAACACTGCGCTCTGGGGCTCTGAGGCATCACGACGTCGCGTTGCCTGCCAACTTCAAATCCAAACTGACCACAAAACATTTTCAGCCTGAACTTTATGCCGCAGAAGGCGATGGCGATAGCGGTCTGACGCTGGCAGCGACGTCAACTTCAAAATAATAACAATAAAAAATCAAAGGTAGTAAAAACCGAAAAAAGAAAAGAAAACGCGAATCCAAACCAGTCGAAAGCCAATGCAAATAGGTGTGCCTGCCTGCCTGTGTGTGTATGTGTGTGTGTGTGTGAGATTCTTAGCCCAAGGGCTTGGCATCGTTGCAAAAGAACTTATGACCGAGTTGTTGCTCGCTGTTGTTGTTGTTGCTGTTGTTGTTGCTGTGCTAATTTGTATTTGCGGCACTCGCATATGAGGGGGCAGCTGATATTGCCATTGTTACGGCTCGGTCCGGTCAGCGCGAAAAATGAAGTTGACCTGCTTACAGTCGAGCCTAAAACTGGAGCACACACACACACACAACGACATTCACACACACACACATATACACATAGAGCAGCAACACTTCCGAGTAAATTTACATAGGCTCGGCCGAAGGAATTATGCATGCGGCTGTTGATATTGAAATGCCGAACAGGTTAAACTCCGTGCCGCCCACTCGATAGTGAAATGGAAGTGGAGCCCGTGGCGCACACAGTTTCACTTTCGTCTACAAGCGCCAGTTGGCAGACCATAAACACGTAAGGCACGAAGAGCAAACAAAATAAATACACTAAGGCGGAAAGGGGCTGGGATGACGTCGAAACGTCAAAGCCAGCGTCAACGTCAACGTCAGCGCCATTCGAAGTCGACGTCGACGGCGACGGCGACAAGAACAACAATAGCATGCAAGTCGGGCATCGTAAGACTTACAGTTGCGTTTGTATGCAGAGTGCAGCGGTTGGGTGTTGGCGCAGCTGGCGTCGACGTCGGCGTCGCAGGAAGTTGTTACGGCAAGGCGGGCGCTGCGCATGGGTGGCAACCTTTGTGGGTCAGAGCGTCGTTAAAAAACGTCTTGGCATAACTGTGCCAACGTGCGGCATTTGCCAAAGTCAAACGCATTGGCCCAAGCACAGGCAGCAACAATGTTGCCGACGCCCTCATTTTGACCACGAATAAATCAGTGAGCGTCGCGGCTAACGACGAGAACTTGGCACAAATCCATTAACACTCACATTTCAGTTGTCGCATGCCAGCCACAAATAATTGAAGTCTATTTGGCTAAACTTGGCCAACATGCAACTGAGCCAAGCCCCAGACAACAGCTGAGTGAGGCGAAGCAACCTCAGCTCAGCTCGTTGCTCATGTTAACAAAACGAACTTTTAATAAATTCATTACGCTGGTAATTTACGACACTCAGACACACACACACACACACACACACACACAGAGACATTCAACGAGCTGCACACTGCATTGGCTTAATGCAATGCCTGACATTACGTATACGCCCCATACATTTATGGACAATCAAGTTTATGGCCATCGAAGCAAGCTTTTATGTGTGGATCCGGAGAACGGCTCTGTTTATCGTCACTTTGCACTTCTCCTTGACATTTCTAAGATATTTTTAAATCGAACTGGGCGACGCCTACGGCTGGAGGCGTGCTGCAAGTCCTTGTTTTATTGACGTCGTGCACATAGATCTGAGTCGAGTGCATCAAAGAAGACAAATGTGCAAGCAAACAAATGTTAATACTTTCTCTTCTCTTCTTTTTGCCAATAGCTATGAAATATTCTTAGACTGTGTCAACAACAAGTTTGCCCATAAATTTCATTTTCTTTTAATATCCAAAAACATTAAATTCCAATTGAAGCCAGTTATTACGCATTTCAGCTGAAAGTTGAAAGTATTTCTATTTTTATTTTCGATTTATTTACTTTTTTTTCGGCCAAAAGTTTGTTTGCAAAATTATGAAAAGTTTTGTATAACTTTGTGATGTTTATTGAAATTAAGTCTTGCTTATAACATTTATATTTAT